ATTGATGCCTTTGAGTTGTGGTGCTAGAGAATAGTCTTGAACATACCATGGACTGCCAAGAAAACAAGTAAGTCTGTGTAGGAGAGGGTGAAACAAAGCTCTCCTTGGAGGCTAGTATTGTGAAGCTCCGTGTCACTTACTTTGGACACATGGCCAGGAGAGATCGGTCCTTGGAGAAAGACATCATGCTCAGAAGGGTAAATGAACAGTGCAGGAGAGATAGACCCTGGATGAGATGAATTATTAAAGTAACTGGGGTAATGGGGGTTGGTGTATCAGAATTTAGTGAGATTGGCTCAGGACAAAGAAAGGTTCAGAGAGGCTGTACATAGGGTCGCTATGCATCACAGGCAACTCAATAGCACCTGACAACAATAACATAATATGACAGGTTTGGAAGCAGAAGTGGCATCCACTTCCTAAACAACTTTCCTCTGGAAACTCTATGAACTTTGATAAATGTCAGTAGTTGTAGAGGGGCCGCAGGCCTTTTGTTCATGGGTTTGCTATGAGTTGTGCTCAACTTGAAGGCAATCAACGATATGTGTGTGTGTGTGTGTGTGTGTGTGTGTGTGTGTGTGTGTGTGTGTGTATATATATATATCTCGATAGATGGGGGGCGTGGAGGAAGATAAATAATAGATAAATAGACAGTTTAGTGGTAAGGAGCTGCACTGCGAATCCAAAGGCATGTGGTTCAAATCCACTGCTTCTCTGTGGGAAAAAGATGAACAGTCTTCTCCTGTGTGATTTACTGCCTCTGAAAGCTCACTGGAGGTTAGCTATGGGTCATTTCCAATTCAGTGGTACCTAACAACAAAACACACACACACCCATATATGTAAACATGCATGTACACACAGAGAAAGAGGGTTTTTGGAGGGCGGGGTGAGAAAATTTGCATTTTGAATTAGCCAGTTGCACTCAGTTTAGATGATCCCAATTTTGTTGGCAACATCCAAAGCATCATAGTCAGGAATAAGTCAATCATAGGCCTTCTTCTCTCCATCAGGCCTAATCAAATGTTGACCCTAGCCACATCAATGTCAGAGCTTCTTGACAGCTTGTTTAATTTGGTGTTTGTTGGCCTTAACATCCACAATGAACACGAGTGTGTTGCTATCTTCTCTCTTCTTTATGGCTGACTCAGTGGTCAGGGGAAACTTGATGATGGCATTGTGGTCAAGCTTGTCCAGGGGGCGCTTTTCTGGGGGTAGTTGGGCTGCCTTCAGAGTCTTAGCATCTTAGGCTGCAGGAAGATGAGTGATGTGCGAGGTTTTTTGTTTTTGTTTTTGTTTTTTTTTTTTTTTTGGCTGTGGATGCCCTTCAGGACTGCCTTCTTGGCTTCCCCCCCCCAAATCATTGTTTATTTCATAAGTACACAGTTTCTAGAGCAAGATTAAGATACCATTGGGACCGTCTTGGCTTTTAATGCCTTACCTTTGGCTTTGGTTTTGGGAGGAGCAGCTTCCTTCTTCACTTTTGGCGCCATCTTTATAGAAAGGAGAAAGATACTTCTTTTAAGGAAGTTGCTCACATGGTTGTAGAGTCCAAAAATCTGTGGCTCAGGCTTAAGGCTTCTCCTGACTCACGTGGTTGCAGGAGTCAGACAGAACTACTGACTCATATCCCAAGAACCAGAGTAGAGATAATAATATGTTGGATAAAGGGCAAGTAAAGGGGTGGAGGAAAGGAAGGAAGAAGAGAGATTTACCTGGACATATACATATATAGAGAGAATGCAGGCCATACCCTTAAGCAGACACCTTTTAAGTTAAATCAGAAAATGGAGGATAATTACATAATATTGAGAATCATGCCTAGCCAACTTGACATATAACTTTAATCATTACAATTCTCATAAGCCAACATATTAAAATTTTCCTGATTAAAAAAAATAAAGGATCATTGTATGTTGGAAAACTAATGATTAGTAAAAACTGCATGTCTTCGGGTTGGTAGAGCAACACTTTACCCACTAGGCCATCAGAGCTCCGATTCTCTATTAACAGTGGTCAAAATATAGAATTAGAAATAACACAAATGATCATCTTGTTTAATTACCTACAGGAGACTAATGTTTTAATAGCTGAAGTTAACTCTTGTGTCAGAATCTCTCTTAGCTCAGTGAAGTACATGCAAATATACCTGTGAAAAAATACCTCCCCAGTCAAGATAGAGAACTTTCCTACAAGTGTCCTTTTTCAGCCTGTCCCCTGACCCCAGAGTCTGCCCCTAGGCAACTAATCGTCTGTTTACTGTCATTATAAATTAATTTTGTGATTTTTTTTTTCTGGGCTTTCATATTAATGAAATCATATATTATGAATTCTCTGTGTGTCTTGCTTTGTTTTGCTCAGTGTAAGACTTAATTTTCACCCATTGTGGTGTGACCCCATAGTTTGTTCTTCTCCCCCCCCCCCCCGGTAGTATGCTGGGTTTAGAAGAGGCCATGGTAGTAGGGATATTGTAGCTAATGTTAGATGGATCTTAAGTGAAAGCAGGGAGTACCAGAGGAATTTCTGTATGTTTTTCATTGACTATGCAAAGGCATTTGACTATGTGGATCACAACAAACTGGCTCACTCTGAGAAGAATGGGAATCCCAGATAGATATATGAAACCTATACTTGGACTGGACCAGGAGGCAGTCGTCAGAATGGATCAAGGAAACACTGCATTGTTCAAAAATGGGAAGGGTGTAAGCCAGGGAAGTGTCCCATCTCCAAACCTTTTCAATCTATATGCAGAACAGATTATCTGTAAGGTTGGGCTCTATGAGGAGAAATATGGCATCAGGATTGGAGGAAGACTAATCAATAATTTGTGTTACATAGATGGCACAACCCTGCTTTCTGAAACTGAGGGGAACTTGAAGCGCTTACTGCAGAAGGTCGAGGACTACAGCCTTAAATACGGATTGAAGCTCAACATCAAGAAAACAATAATTCTCACCACTGGGTCGATTAGCAGCATCATGATAGATGGTGAAGAGATTGAGATTAACAGTTTGCTTGGCTCCACATTCAACACTCTTAGTATCTGCAGCCAGGAAATTAAAAGAGGAATTGCATTGGGGAAAGTCTACTGTCAGGGAGCTCTCCAAAGAACAAAGAACAACAATGTTAGTCTGGAGACTATGGTGCACCTGATTGAGGCCATAGTCTTTGCAATTACTTGCCATGTGTCAGAAAACTGGATATTGACTAGGAATGATGGAAGGAGAATCTATGCCTTTGATTGTGGTGTTGGAGACGAGTATTGAATATATCATGGACTGCTAGGAAAACAAACAGGTTTGTCCTAGAGAGGGTGAAGCCAGGCTGCTTCTTGGAGGCAAGGATTCTGAAGCTTCGTCTGACATACTTTGGACATGTTGCAAGGAGGGACCTGTCCTTGGAGAGGGACAGCACAAGAGAGGAAGACAGTCGATGAGATGGATTGATTCAGTGACTGGGGTAATGGAGGTAGGTGTGTCAGAGACAATAAGATTGACACCGGATAGAGCTGGGTTTAAGGCTGTTGTACACAGGGCCTCTATGAACCACAAGCAACACGACGGCACATAACAACAACAACAACTGTAGTGTATGTATTGTTCATTTTTATCCATTTAATTGTTGCTGGATATTTGAGTTGTTCCGGTTTTCAGCAATCATGAGTAAAGCTGTTTTGAATATCTGTGTTCAGGTATTTGTATGGACTTAGGATCTCATTTCTCAGATATACCTGGGAGTGGAATTGTTGGGGCATAAAATAAATGAGGTTTAATTTTATTTTTTAATTTAATTGTATTATATTTGTGTGTGTACCATCAAATCAGGTCTGACTGGTACAGGAGATTGCCCTTCCTTCTCCAGCAGAGCATCTGGGAGGTTTAATTTTATAATAAATCATCATACTAATTTCCAAAGTGGTTAAATCATTTAGTATTTCCATCAGAAGTTTCAATTTCTTCACATCCTTGCCAGCATTTGATATGCTTAGTTATTTTGACTACTCTGGATTTGCATTGTTGTTGTTGATTGCTTTTGAGTCAAGCACGACTCACAGCGACCCCATGAACAAAAGGTCTGATGCCCCTCTATAACTATCAACATTTATCAGAGTTCATAAAGTTTCCAGAGTCATGTTTAGAAAGTGGATGCCACTCCTGCTTCCAACAATTTGTAGTACTTCTATTAAATACTGTGTACTTCTGAAGCGCATGTTAAAGCTGTTATAATTGTTGACTATGGATAATAATTTAAAAAATATGTATTATCAGTATCTTAGATTCTAGATCCTGTGAGAAGCCAAGAAAATAGGGTGCATGTTCCAGTCCAGCAGATAGAAGAACAGATGCTCAGTTAATTAGCTAGCCAAGTTTCATCATATCCAAAATGGGAACAGTGTGGGGCGCCCCTTCCCTGTCATCGCCACACTGCCTCAAGTATAATCTTCTCTCTTCTTTTCTTCCTGGCTTGAGTTTAGATTATAGATTTTCACTACCATGCTTTTATATTTCTTCCTCAAGAATATACATTTGATTTATTATATTTTGCTGTACTTTATTTAAATTAAGGTATTTTATACTGTGATATTTTATTTCATGTAGAAACATTTTTATGCTACCTTTTTTTCCTAACTCTGATGATATTTTCTAATGAAGTGCCATCAATCTTTTATATCAATAAACATAATTTTATAGCATTCCTTAGTGTAAATTGTTAGCCCTCTTGTTTATGTTTTAAGAATAAGTAATGTCTGGGTGACCTAAATCAAATCTTATTTTTTTATAGAAGCATCACTCGGAGAATAAAGGCCTAGACAAAGTGGTGGAAACTCAAGCCCAAGTGGATGAATTGAAAGGAATCATGGTCAGAAACATAGGTATGTTTTATGGCATAGCTCATATGCCTGTATGCAAAATTGATGACAATCTATAACTTAATGAGGGTCAAATTATTCTAGAATGGCTGCAATAGCACTTTATTACATTTTAGTATTAGGAGCTATCAATGGAGATAAGGTTACTTACCTCAAATGCTGTTTACTTTATAAATTATTTTCTTTTTACTTAAAGTGTGACTCCTCATTGTTAGAGTCACTGTGTCAGTTCATCTCACTGAGAGTCTTCGTTTTAACTTACCTGCCACTTTTCCCAGCATGATGTCTTTTTTCAGGAACAGGCCCTTTTTGATAGCATGTCCAAAGTATATGAAACAAAAGTCTCATCATCCCTGCTTTTAAGGAGCATTCTGGCTGAATTTCATCCAAGACAAATTTGTTTGGGTTTTTTTTAATAGCTTATAGTATATATTCATTATTCTCTGCCAACACTGTAGTTCAAAGATGTGTCCATTCGTCTTGAATCTTTATATTTATTGTCTAACTTCTACATGGATAATGAAGCAACCTCGCCGCGCACCGTCGGCGCACGTTTCTTACGTACAAAACCAAGAATGGCGCCTTGTGACGTGCTTCCGAGCCGCTGAAGGAGCTTATTTGGGGAACCATCCATGGGAGGCTGAGATTGCTGAGCAGGAATTAGAACATATCAAGAAAGGACAAAGACAGAACTTCCAAGGTTTGAGAATGTCCCAAGTAGAGCAGAGGATGGTGAAGGCTCAGGAAGCACTGCAGTGATGTGGCTCTGAAGTTCACGTGGGAAGAATGGGAGTTTCTGGACCCTGCTCAGAAGGCCCTTTACCAGGACATGATGCTGGAGAACTACAGAAACCTGGTGTCCATCGGATATCAACCTCAGAAACCTGGTGCCCTCCCCAGGTTGGAAGGAGGTGAACAACCACAGATTAACATCCCTGAACATCAGAGAGAAAGCTTTTCAGGGAGAACTCGTAGCCTAGTGGATAAGAAGTTGTGCTCAAAATCCCAAGGAAGGCAGTTCAAATGCAGCAGCTGTTCACAGGCAAAGATGGACAGTCTCCTCCCATGTGACTCACCTCGTGTGAAAGCCCACTAGGGGGTCAGCTGTGAGTCAGTTCCAACCCCATGGCAATGAGTCCTATGTTCAGACCCATCAAATCTGTGTGCGTGAGCTGTTTATTATCCAATGTTATTCCAACTCAACTAAGCTCATGGCCATCAGCTCTCCTCCAGTGGTTTTCTGAGGCTGTAAATCATGTCTTCCCCATGGGAGCAGCTGGGACATTTAGAGGCCTGATTTGGGCTTATCCAAGAAATTCTCTACAGCTCTGTGCCTTCATCCTGCAGTCATTTCATAATTTGTTCTGTTGTTTTTATGAGTATGAATGTAACAGTAAGTGTAATATTTTACTTACACTAATGTCCAAATGTTTTTCAATTTGTCGTGTGCCCTGGATTGGGATGGAGTCATGCCTGGCCTTCGGCGAGTTTTCAGTGTTAGTTAAATTCATAGGAGGGGAACGCCTCTTCTTTAATCTCCTAGAACAGCCTGTGGATTGAAATGAGTGCCTTTGGGATTGCAGTCCAGCGTCTTACTACGTGGCCACGAAATGTCCTCATTGAAATTCCTAATTATGATGGCATTAAACAACAACAACACTTCTTCATTCTTTTATTAGATTCATTTCAAATCAGATTTGTGAAATTTATTATTTTCTTCTTTCCTATAAGTCCAGAATGTTGATGATCACTTGCTTGGACTCTCGTCTGATGAAGAAATATTACACAGACCAGAACACAATGACCTGAATTCATTGGAAAATACTTATCATCTGCACAGAACTCACCTTCATTTCATGGAAAACCATTATAGGTATAAATTGCCTAAGAAAACTAAGAAATCCAGTACCGCTTTACCTGCAGTCCAGCAGAGACCTAGCGATCAAGTAGAGCACTCTGCTGAGCTCAGTGGACAGAAGACCTTGCTCCTCGGTGACTGTGACCGATTTCAGACTGAAAAGAATTTCCTGAAATGTCAGAAATCAAAAGACTCCAGGGCCAAACTTCACAGAAATCAGACAACTCCCAAAGCAAAGAAATCCCATGTATGTAGTGACTGTGGCATAGCCTTCCCCAGGAAATCAAGTCTCAATGTCCATCAGCGAAGTCACACAGGGGAGACACCCTACATGTGTGGGGAGTGTGGGAAAGTGTTTACCAGGAAGAGTAACCTCACTGAACATCAACGAACTCATACTGGAGACAAACCCTTTGTGTGCAAAGAGTGTGGAAAAAGGTTCTTCCGGAGGAGTCGCCTTACTCGTCATCAGAATACTCACACTGGGGAGAAGCCCTATGTGTGCGGGGAGTGTGGGAAAGGCTTCACCTTGAGTAGTCTCCTTACTCGCCACCAGATTACTCACACTCGAGAGAGACCCTACGTGTGCAGGGATGTGGAAAAGGGTTCATCACCAAGGGTCGCCTCACTGACCATCAGCAAACTCATGCTGCAGAAAAACCCTATGTCTGCCAAGAGTGTGGCAAAGGCTACACCTGGAAGAGTCGCCTTACTGCCCATCAGCGAACTCATACATGCAAGAGTCCCACTGTGTGCAAGGAACGTGCAGAAGGGCTCAGCACGAAGGCCGCACTCACTCTCCATCAGCGAACTCACACTGGAGAGGAACGCTATGTCTGCAACGAGTGTGGAAAAGGGTTCCCCTGGAGGAGTCGCCTCACTGCCCATCAGCGAACTCATACTGGCGAGAAGCCCTATGTGTGTGGGGAGTGTGGGAAAGGCTTCACCTTGAATAGTCTCCTCACTTGCCACCAGATTACTCACACTCAAGAGAGACCCTATGTGTGCACAAAGTGTGGCAAAGGGTTCATTGCGAAGGGGAAACTCACTGTCCATCAACGAACTCATACTGGAGAGAAGCCCTATGTGTGCAAGGAATGTGGAAAAGGCTTCACTGAGAAGACAAAGCTTACTTGTCATCAACGAAGTCACTGAAGGACGACCCAATACTGACAGTGACTTTGGTACAAAGGAAGATGTCATTCCTCCTACGTCAACAAAGACCATACAGAATACTTTCCCTCATCCACCCTGTTCGCAATCCTTTGATATGATTTAAGGCTGTAACTGAGCCTTGAGTTCTTGTGTCAGCAAGAATTTTCTTGGATGTCTGCTCACAAAACCAGGATCCCTGATGACACGATGGTTGAAACACTAAGAACTTTTTTTTTAAGTTTATTTTATTATTTTTGTGTGTGTACCGTCAAATCAGATCTGACTGGTACAAGGAGGAGATTGTCCCTCCTTCTCCAGCAGAGCATCTGGTGGATTGGAACCACACACCTCTGGGATTGCAGTGCAGCTTCTTGCCACTAGGCCACCAGAGCTCCCTGAAACACTAAGAACTTTTAACACACCAGTTCCTTCCCCTGAGAAAGATGTGGCAGTTGTCCTCAAGAAACACATAAAGAGGGAATGGTCAGTATCACCGCTCTTGCTGCACAAGTTCCTATTTGTCTCGCCCGCAGTGGACATGGTACTGGTCCTGGTGCTAGCATACAGCTCAGACCACAGACAAAATGGACCTGTGGGCGAAAAACAGTTAACTGTAGTAGGGAATATTACAGTATGAAAAGAAGTTTTACTAATAATAAGTTTAATAATAATAAAACAGTAATTCCTTCAGTCCCTTACTTAATAGCAGAAATTCTCCTTCACTTTGGACTGTTTCCCCTCGAAGGATAAAATGCTATTATTCTAGCCCCAAGAAAATTGTACTTAACAAACCAGAGTATTTCCTATCCTGGGGATATTCACAATGCATTTTAGGATATTCTGCTTATAATAATGGATTTATTGGAAATGTATTTCAGTGTCCTGATAGCAATATAGAAAGTAATTTATGGGTGTTGGGTGCGGCCGAGTTTATTAACCATAACCTGTTCTTGGAAATGCTTAAAGAATTTCCCTAAATAATTGTACATATATGTATTATCTTATGTTAGATCACTGTACACTTTGTTAAAAGCACAGTGTTTTGCAGATTGTGATCAGAAAAGTTATTCATGTATGAATGTCACTTTTGTAGTTAATGAAATGCAATATTATTATTCCAGTATTTTGGAATTATTCCAGAAAGTTTGGAATATAACTTGTAAAGATTGCCTTACGACTCAGTGGACTTGATCCTCTTCAGAAAAAAAAAAAAAAGAAAATGCTATGACTTAGTTTAATTAAGCTAAGTGTTAGGTGCTCCTTTAGAAGATGTTAAAACTTCATTTTACATACTTTGAGCATATTGTCACAAGGCGACCAGTCATTGGAAAAAGACACCCTGCTTGGAAAAGTAGAGAGTCAGCAAAAGAGAGAAAGACTCTCCAGGAAATGGATTTATACAGTGGCTATAACAATAAACTTGAGCATGTTGGAAATCATGTGGGTGGTATAAACTAAAGACAAACCTGTTATTGTCAAGTACATCTTGATTAGTGGTAGCCCTGTGTGTTTCAGAGTAAAGTGTTTTCCAGAGGATTGTCAGTGACTGTAATCCTAAGGAAGTAAGTGACTAGTTTGCTTGGTGGGTTCAAAACACCAACCTGTGTTTAGAAGTCAAGTGCAAACCATTTGCACCACTCAAGAATAACTTTTTACTGACTTTTTAGATAATGTCTTTCAGTACAAAAGGTTTTCATTATGCAGTCCAATTTATTGCATCCACCCCTTTTGTTACTTATGGTTTCTGTGCATGATCCTAGGTCACAAAGGTTTAACAGCTATTTTCTTCTAAGATTTATTATAAGAGAATAATTTTTTTCCATTGGATTGCATACAAAATTCATATACATTATGTTTCACACTATCCTTCATTCACATTGTATTTCATACAATCATTCTCATTCATTGTTGTTATAGTTGTTGTTAGATGCCATCAAGTCAAGTATGATTCATAGCAACCCTATGAATAGCGGATCTGAACCCTGTCCTATCCTGTGCCATCTTCACACTTCCTAACACACTAGAGCCCATTGCGGCAGTCACCATGTCAATCCATCTGGTTTGGGGTCGTCTTCTTCTTCTTTGCCAACCCTCCACCCTTCCCAGCATCATGTCCCTCTCCAAGGAATAGCCCTTCCTGGTAACATGCCCGAAGTATGCGAGGCAAGCCTCATCATCCTTGCCTACAAAGAGCATTCTGGCTGCACCCTTTCCAAAACATATTTATTTGTTCTTTTGGCTGTCCGTGGGATGTTCAGTGCTCTTCTCTAACACTACAATTCAAAATTCTTCTTCTGTAATCCCTATTCATTGTCCAGCTCTCATATGCATAGCAAGTGATAGGAAAAACTATGGCCAGAAGTAGAAGCACCTTAGTTCTCAAACTGACATCCTTACTAATTAGGCTTTATAAAACCAGGCCTATCATTACACTGTCTTTCCAGAACCCCACTGGATCTTTCCCATTTCGCTTACCTCCCCCCTTCCTCTACCCACCAAATCATGTGACCTTATGATTTCCTCCCTGCCAACCCTCAGCCCTCTGTTCCTACTTCTTCCCCCTTTAGAGTCCCTTATATATTTTACTAGCTATCCTTCTGTTTTTACAGTAATAGTCCTATGCAGTATTTATGCTTGAGAGACCGAGTTAATTCACTCAGCGTAATATACCCTCTAGTCTCTCTCAAGGTTATGTAGTAATTTTCGTAATCATTCTCCCAAGTACTGCATAGTTTTCCATGGTGTGAATGTACCATAATTTCTAAATAGATTGGATTGTGGTTACACATTTCAGCTGCTTCCATGTTCTTGCAATTACGAATAACACTGCTATGAACATAAGTGTACCAGTCTTCATTTGTGTCTCAGTAATTCCTTGGGGCATATTCCTAGGACTGGAATAGCTGAATCACAGGGAATTTTTATGTTCAGCTTTTAGAGGAAACACCAAACTGCCTTCCAGAGTGGTTGTGTCATTTCAACAGTCCCACCAACAGTGTATGAGAATTCCTATCTCGTCTCATCCTCTCCAACATTTATTACTTACTGCCCTATTAAACTTTGCCACTGCTACTGGGGATAGATGGTATCTCATTGTAGTTTTGATTTGTGTCTCTCTTATTGCCAGTGATTGTGAGCATTTCTTCATGTGTCCGTTGCCGTCTGAATATCTTCCTCTGTGAAAGGTCTTTTCATGTCTTTGCCCATTCTGTAATTGTGTCATCAGTCTTTTACTTGTGGAGGCCCTGTAGGATTTTGTAAACTTTTGTTATGAGAACTTGTCTGAGACGGTATTGCCAAATACTTTTTCTCAATCAGGTTTTCTTTTCACCCTATTGGAAAAGGTGGGGGTTTTTTGTTTTAAAAAAAAATGTTATTTTTTTATTTTGTGTGTGTGAGGAAAAGGTTTTTTATGCACAGAGGGAATTAATCTTTAGAAGGTCCCGTTCGTCGGTTTTATCCTCTCCAGATTGTGCATTTCTGACTCTATTTTGCAATCTCTTTATACCATAGACCGACTAGGCCATCTAAGCTTGATCTCAGTTTGTCTCTGGTGAACTTTATGGTTTGAGACTTTACTCCCAGGTCTCTGATCTACTTTGAGTTAAATTTTGTATATGGTGAGAGGTGTGGATCCTGCTTCAGCTTTTTGCAGGTACCAGTCCAGTTTACCAGCACCATTTGTTGAAGAGGTTGTCATTTCCCCATTTGATAGATTTTTGTTTCCTTGTCAAATATCAGCTGACCATAGAAATGTGGATTAATTTCTGGTTTCTTGATTCTGTTCCACTTGTCTGTGTACCAGTATCATGCTGTTTTGGTTATTACAACTGTTTAGTAGGATTTGAGATCAGGGAGTGCTATGCCTCCCACTTCATTCTTGTTTTTCAGAAATGTTTTGCTTATTTGGGGTCTTTTTGTTCTTCAAATAAACTTGACAATTGCCTTTTCAATCTCCTTGAAAAATGAATTTGGAATATGTTTTGGGATTGCAGTAAACATGTAGATTGCTTTTGGTAGTTCTGTCATTTTCATTATATTCAGTCCTCCTGTCCATTAACAGGTAACATTTTCCCATTTATTTAGATCTTTTATTGTTGCTCACAGAAGTATTTTGTAGAAAAGAAGGAACTTAAGGAATCTGTGAAAACAAGACCAAAAATACTGGAAATTTTAAGGGAAGTGTTGGCTGTACCCTCTGTCTTGTAATGATTTCTTATACTTCAATATCTGTAGTTTTAATTCTTTCTTCCGTCTTTTGCATTTTCTTCCATAGTTGTGTAATTTCCTCTTTATTTATATATTTCGTCTGGCTCCCTGTCTGTGGAGTATTCACTGTCTTCCATCATTTGTACTTTCCTCTGTAGATTTTCAAATAACTCTGCATCAATATATGTCTTCTGGTTCTCTGCCTCTGAGGTATTCACTTTATTTCTGGCTTCCATTATTGCCTTCTTAATTTGTACTTTCTTCCATAGCTGTTCATATGACTCCATATCAGTACATGTCTTCTACCTCTCTGACTCTAGGGTATTCATTCGGTCTGCAATATCCTCTGCTTTTTTAGGAGAGGGCAGAATTTGTTTTTCACAATGTTTGAACCTGCTTGCTGCTTTCTGAACATGTGAAATTTTTCTTGGTGTTAGGCCATTTCTCTTGTGTCTTTATAAGTTGTTGATACTTCTAATATTTCTGGTGGTTTTGCTTCATTGCCAGCTTACACTGTTTTATGTATAGTGTGTAATACTTCACTGGAAGGCCTCTCCAGAATTACTGCCTTTCCTAAATTTCTTCAGG